TGCTCAGCAGGGGTGGCTCTGGATGGAAGGCAGTAGTTTTTCTGGAGCAAATGCCATTGAAATGCAAAGGAAAACCATGATGAAGTATACTGTGATGTTGGTTCCCAGACTGGTCTATCCCATAGCTGCTTTTCCTTTAGCTGAGATGTAGTCAGAATCTTTTCCTTTTCTTTTTTAGTTTATTTTTTCATACTAAGCTTGAGAAAGCAAAGGAGTTATAACTTTCCACTGAAAACACTGCCTAGTTCTTAATTTTCTTTGCAAGGTATTATTTTATCCTCTTAAAGGGTTGCTTCTCTTTTTCCATCATAAAAACGATAACAAAAGGTAACAGAAGCTCTCAGCTTCCCCGTGTTTCCACAGTGGAAAACCCCCTAATTTTTTCAGGGGGTTGGATGGCCTTGCCCATACTAGAATTCCTGCATTTGAAACCTGCCATTTGATGACTTGTTCCCCAAAAAGCCTCATTTGGTACAGAAGACAAGAAGGTATTTTAAGAGTGAATAGATTATTTTTGTGTCTTTGTATTGATGGAGGAGGAGTGGTTGGCGGTTGCATCTTGCTGGATTTAGGCTTAGAACTTCAGAAGGAGAATAACAAGAATGAGAAACTACTTGTGCTTCTGAATGTGACGATACACTTCTTACCAGTAAGATGAGCCGTCTGAAATGTAACAATGCACATTCTGTTCTGGGGCTCGGGTCTATGAAACCCACAGATTGCTTTTGGCTCCTGGATTCCCTCCTGCAGTACACTTCCTACGGCGTGACGCCTCCGAGTCTCAGCCATTCTGAAAACCGACAGCGGCCGCCGTCAGGAGAGGGCAGTTCTCTCCCGGAGCGGATGGAAGGTGAGAGCCTTACTTGTGAGCAGAGCCTGCAGCCGATGGGGGTCTGAGTGGAAGTTAGAAAGACCCACGCAGGCTTTGACAGTAAGGTTAGCTTGGGATGAGCTCTGGTGTTTTACTAGAAGAGAGCACCTTCAAGCTCTAGGGATCTGTGATGATACTATCATTTGACTAAAGAAAATGTTCTGCTCGCAGAACTATTCTCAGTGCCTCCGTGCTGCTGGGAGGTATTCTAGGTACTGGCTACAGGCTGTGCATAAAATCTGGTCTCAGGTGTTGGCCAGCAAAACTTGGCTTATTGTAGGGGCAGAGTCTTTACTGTTTTGTACGGTTAATAATTTGTACGGTAATACCCTTAATAAGAACTAACGGTTCTAACTCAGATTCAGCTGTGAGTCATTACTGTGAATGGCTCCTGATGTTACAGCAGCTCCATTTAGCTGGAGGCAAATGTTGGGAACTGTGTTTCTGACGCAGTGTGTCTGCTGTGGATCGCAGGTAACCATCTCCATCGATACTCAAAGGTGCTCGAGGCTCACTTGGGAGACCCGAAACCCCGTTCCCTTCCTGCTTGTCCTCATCTCTCCTGGGCCAAACCGCAGCCCCTGAATGAAACTGCTCCAAGGTTAGTGTGCATCTGTCTTAAAATTCTACAAGAAGTCTGGCTTCCAAGTTCAGCTTGAAAATTATTTGTTTCATCTGCTTTTGAAAAGGACAGCTGGAATTCCTTTCCTAGAGAAAGACGAGATTGTAAAGAGGAAATAGTGATTAATGCCACTTCAGTGAATAATTCTGACTCACCTGATAGTTAAGCTGTATTTTGTGGAACAGATTTTAAAAATAGCTTCACAAGTCAATGCCTTTTTATGATTGAGTGATTCCAACTTAAAGTTCAAGGGCTGGCTTAAATCCATCATGCCTTTGAAATAGTTTACTGAAGCACTTCCTGGGACAGCTCTCCTAACTCTGCCTTCCAGTGTATAATTTGTCAGTCACTAGCAGGTAAATGCGCCAGCACATAGCCCATGCTTGTCTGCAGAGCTCCTAGTGATAATGTCTGCTAGTCTGCATGCACGGAAGGCAGTTGCTAATAAATAAGTGTGATCTAGTTGCATCCCTGTGACATCTGAATGGAACTTGGGAGGCCTGTAAGCTGCAAAACCCAAAGAGCGTATGGGATTATCATTCAGGTCCAAGTTATGAGTAGCTGGTAGGTTTCAGCTGTCACTTTCTATGCATGTTTCTGCAAAATTCCTTGCGTTACTGAAGTAAGTGGGCGGACATCTCCATCTTTACATTTCTTCTAGCAACCTTTGGAAACATCAAAAGTTACTGTCAATTGACCTTGATAAAGTGGCTCTGCCCAGTTTTCGACAGAACCGACCCCAGGTGAGACCACTGTCCCCTGGAGAAAGTGGAGCATGGGACATTCCTGGAGGTATGTACTGAAAGATTTGAAAGGTAGTATTTTAGGTCAAGGGAAGATGTATTTCCTTTCAGTTGTGGAAAAAATGCAAATGTCAGCATGGTTGTGTTGTATAAGACTGACTGATGAAGTCTCAGAGAAATATTTTTGAAAGGAGCCATGTGTGCATACAGAGGGGAAGATTCTGATAAGTGGTCTTTGGCCAGCCCAGGTTTGTTTTGACACCAGTAGTAGGCAGCAGCAGTTCCTGTCCTTGGGAGGTGTGATGATAACTCCTGCTGATAAGAATTCCTCGCAGAGTCCAAGAGAACTAGAGCAGTGCTTTGGGGAAGGTGTTGCACTGACAGCGTAGAGCACTTGGAGCAGCTCCTTACAAGCTTGGTGCCGTGTCCCGCTGGAAGCCTCTTAAAGCTTCACACACGTTCTTTTCTCAGTCTGAGCAGCAAGTCCAAATGATGCCTTTAAACAGGAGGGCTTGTGTAGTTTGTCCTCACCATGTGCTAGCGCGATCTCCAGAGCAGCAGCAGAATCACTTCTCTTGCAGCATGAGGAACAGAAGGTTCTTGTTATAAGGGAAATCTGGGTTATGTTTGCATGTTCGCAAGTAGGTCAAGGTGGAAATGCTGGTACTTTTCTGTGAAGTTAGTTAGCATCCTGTCTTACTTCTGCTAATTGGTCTGCAGTTGTTAATCTTCCTGTCTGAAATGTAATCTGATTGTGGCTCGTGTGGCCGCAAACCTCCTTGCCTCTCCAGGTATAATGCCCGGGCGGTACAACCAGGACGTGGGACAGACTATTCCAGTCTTTGCTTTTCTTGGGGCCATGGTGGTTCTGGCGTTCTTTGTGGTGCAGATCAACAAAGCAAAAAGCAGGCCAAAGAGACGGAAGCCGCGAGTGAAGCGGCCGCAGCTCATGCAGCAGGTCCATCCACCAAAGACGCCTTCGGTGTGAAAGCTCTTGCCTGCCAAAGATGACCTCCTGTCACTGGTTGCTTTCCTGGATGGTTGATGGCTCCCAGCACAGGTGCAGCAAACGTGGTGATCGTACTGGCGATGTACATCTGACATCATCTCACACTCTTTGGCTTCTGGAGAGAAAAAAAGGACCTCAGCTGATCATCTGTACATAAACTGCAGTTTAAGCAGCCATGCCCACCAAAGACTCAAACGCTGTTGAACAGGCTGCTTCGTCACTGCATATCCCACGAGGGGGAAAATGGACCTTTTTTTGTAAGCTGACCAAACTAAAATTTATTTGTTTAGAGGCTATTTTCTATATTTATTGTTGGGGAGGGCGGGGGGAAAAGTCACTTTAAGGACCTCTGCTAAGGAAACACAAGTGCATTTTTTGGATAGGATGCAATTTTCTAGAATGGTTTAACGCTGAAGAGTGTAACTTACTTCATCAAAAGAGGGAGGGGGCAGGAGAGACTAGTACAAATCAGTTTGACATAGTTCTGCAGTTTATTTTTATAAAGCCAACTACTATGATGTTTTGTAATTTTTGGTCATGATTTCACCATTGTTGGTGAAGCAGATTTTCAATAAATACGTTATCTCAGGCAGCAGCAATAGGTGCATCAATATACGAAGCTCAGACAGAGTGCTGCACGGCTGTCTTCCTGCTGCCTGTCAGAGAGCAGATCGTTGAATAGTGAAAATTTTCACTCCTTCCCTTCTGTCCCCTCTGTCTTTGTCCTTAAAACGAATATGCACCAGGGTGCTGGGGACTTTGACAGTCTGAAACAAGGTTTATTCACACCTTTGTACCTCTGATGACAGTTAGACAAAGGTAACTGTGCAAAAGACAGCTTTGCTATCATAGATGGAGAGGAGGGCGCCTGCAAAGAGGCCCAGCAGTGGGTGAAGCTGCCAGCCCAGCATGTGGCTCAGCCTGGGGGCTGAGGTGCCGCAGGAAGTGGGAGAAGGGGGAAAGAATGCCAGCTAGGGAGCACCAAGGCCTGCAGGAACCCCACACGGGGCTGCTGTGCTAGTGTGGGAGGTGGGCTGTGAATCTCTTTGATTTGCCAGGAGGAGGGAGCCTGGAAAGCTTTGGTGCCTCTGCTTTGGCACTAATGAGGAGGCTCGCTCCTCTCATCGCAGCGCTAATGAGAGATTACAGCCCCTGCGCAGCCTTGAGACCAGAGTCAAGTTGCATCAAAGCCCCAGTCCAAATTAAGAGCCTTTCCCAGTGGCTGGTATTTTACAGCCCAGTGGCCAATTTCTAGATCATAGAGGCCAATTATTCCCGAAGCCTTTGGTGTGCAACTAATGAAGGTCTGGAAGACCCTTTCAAATGGTTCTAAGCCCTGTAGGCAGCTGAGATGTAATGGAGGTGGCAGGCACAATTAGCCATCCATAATTCCTCCTAGCAGCTGATTAAAGTCTCTTTATCCATCTTACCGAGATCAGAAGGCCACATACTTGGGAAATCAAAAATGCATTAGGGGCTGTCAGCTGGTGCTGGGGACCCTGCGCTTGGAGCCTGTAGCTGGTGCCACGTTTCGATCTTGCGGGAGCGTTTGCACCAAGCCATGGCGTGTCCACCCCCTTCAGGGGGGACAGGCCCCTTGTCCCGGGGTCCCCAGCCTGGGGGCGATGCCCGTTTCCTTGGGTGGTCTTGGGGGAGTCCCTTCATGGTACCTCCCTGCCAGCCCCATGGAGGCGGGGGTCAGAGCCCCACTCCCGCCCCCACAGGGACTGCTGCAGGGGGACGGAGTGGAACACACTTCTCTGGCCCAGCCCCAGCCCAGTCCCCTCCTGGGCCGTTGGGAGATGGAGGGGGATGAGGGCCGACCACTGCTGGGGCTGTGGAACACGGGCAGCACTGGGCTCTCCTCTGCTGGCGCCATCTTCATCATGCTCAAGTCTGCGCTGGGTGCCGGGCTGCTCAGCTTCCCCTGGGCATTCAGCAAGGCTGGGGGTGCCGTGCCTGCCATCCTGGTGGAACTGGTAAGAGAATGGGGGCTGCCCTCGGGGATGGGGATGGACAAGGATGGGGGAGAAGGGTGGGGATGAGGACAGGGACACTGCAGTGCTGGCAGAGCCTGTTTGTGTCTGCTGGGATCTTGGTGCCCGAAAGGAAGCTGAGGTTGTGGCAGAAGTGGGATCAGGCTGAAAACAGAGGTTCAGCTTTTCACACCACGTTTGTCACTGGAGCTCTGGGACCCTTCCTGCTGCAAGGTGTGCAGAACCCACGCCAGGACAAAGGAAACCGCTGCCACCCTTTGCACCTCTTACACCAAAGTCAATTTGTGCCTCAACCTAAAGCACAATTTCGTCGTTGGTCCCCTACGTACCCTGAAAACCTCAATCCAACCCCTAAGGACCACACAGAACCGTTTCTTCCCCGCCTTCCCCCTTCTCTCTGAGGCCGCTGCCAAGAGGATGGGTCGGCACTGGGGCTGACCCGAACCCCCCTGCGTGTCCCCACGAGGGGCCGGGTGCTCCCGCTGTGTCCCACAGGGCTCGCTGGTGTTCCTGGTGAGCGGGCTGGCGGTGCTGGGCTACGCGGCGGCGCTCAGCGCCCAGCCCACCTACCAAGGCGTGGTGCGGGCGGTGTGCGGCCCGGCGGCGGGGAGACTCTGCGAGCTCTGCTTCCTTCTCAACCTCTTCATGATCGCCGTGGCTCTGCTGAGGGTGGTGGGCGACCAGCTGGAGAAACGTGAGCTGCTGGGGGCTGAGGGCAGGCAGGCGCCGCCCGCGGCGCTGGGTGCAGCTGTGTCCCCGCAGTGTGCGACTCGCTGTACCCGCCCGGCGCGCTGAGCGAGGGCTCCCCGTGGTTCGTGGATCAGCGCTTCACCCTCCCGGCGCTCTGTGCCCTGGTCATCTTCCCGCTGTCCGTGCCCAGGGAGATCGGCTTCCAGAAGTACTCCAGGTACGGCCGCGTTGTCCCGTGCCTGCAGCCGCCCCGTGCTGGGGTGGCAGCCCGCGGGTCCCCCGGGGCCCTGTTCCGTGCCCGCCCCCCATCTCTCCGTCCCCGCAGCATCCTGGGCACGCTGGCCGCCTGCTACCTCACGCTGGTCATCGTCCTTAAGTACCACCTGCAGGGTGGGAGTCTGGGACTCCCGCAGGCTGCCCGACCCCCCAGGTAAGGCAGCGCCGTAGTCCCCCTGACCCACCCCAGCGGTGGCAGCAGCCCCCAGCCCTCCCAAGCTGGCACGCGGGAGGTTCTGCAGAGGGATGGCTGATACTACCGAGGTCCCCTCTGCTGCTGACACCTGGTGTTCTTTGCTCTTCCTTCCCATCGTGTTGCAGGGCCTCCTCCTGGGCCTCCATGTTCAGCGTCATCCCCACCATCTGCTTTGGGTTCCAGGTATGTCCCCACCCGTAGGGTGCAGTTGGGATGGGTTCCCTCTGGGGAGCTGCAGGCAGGAGGTGTCCCTGGGAGCACCGCTGTGGGCTGCAGCAGGAGGGGAGGTGGCCATGCTGTCCCCCTGCAGTGCCACGAGGCCTGCGTGGCCATCTACAGCAGCATGCGCAACCAGAGCTTCTCCCACTGGGTGGCCATCTCCACGCTTTCCATGCTCATCTGCCTCCTCATCTACTCCCTCACTGGTAACCCCAGCACCGCCGCTTCCTTTCCTGGGGGTCTGTGGATCCTCTCTCCTTCCTGCTGCTGTGCCCCACTCCTGCTGGTGGCACGGGGCACTGTTATCCCCACCCTGATGACAGTCCATGGCCACCTCCCTGCCCGCAGGGCTCTATGGCTACCTGACCTTTGGCGAGGACGTGGCCCCCGACGTCTTGATGTCCTACCCCGGGAACGACCCTGTTGTCATCGTTGCCCGCCTGCTCTTTGGTGTCTCCATCGTCACCATCTACCCCATTGTGGTGCTGCTGGGACGGTGAGTGGGCATTGCTGGGTCATCCCTATCCCCTCTGTCCCTCCCACGTCTCCCCGCTCCCTAAGCTGTCCCCACCACTCAGGTCGGTGGTGCAGGACCTGTGGGCACACCCCAAGCTCAGGGCTACGCTTGTGTCTGAGAGGCACGAGCGGCAGAGCCGGGTGGCACTGACCATCTCATGGATGGCTGCCACACTCGCCATCGCCTTGTTTGTCCCTGACATCGGCAAGGTCATTGAGCTCATCGGCGGCATCAGTGCTTTCTTCATCTTCATCTTCCCAGGCAGGCACAGGGAGGGGGAGGGATGGGAGGATGTGGGGCCTTTTTGGTCTTGCTGCCGGCTCTGTACCCACAAGGTTGGAGCTGAGCACCTGTGCTGGTGGCAGGGCTGTGCCTGGTGTGCATGACGGGGACACAAGCCATTGGGACACCCAAAAAGTGAGTGCAGGCTTGGGGGTGGGACAGGGCACAGGGTCTCCCTGGTTGATGGTTGGGGTACAGGGACCCCATGGGAATATAGGTGATGGGGTGGGAACCCTATGGGGAAGGAGGGAGGGGAATTTGGGGCAGCACTTAATGTGGGACGTGGGGGCTGTGATGGGTTGGAGGAGTTGGTGTGAGGGCATTGCCCAGGTATAAGGAGGGCATTGAGGGTGTGCTCAGGTGTAAGGGTTATGCACGGGCATCGTGGGTGTGCCTGGGTGTCAGAGTTGCCAGTGTACCAGGGATACGCCCAGGACTTGGAGAGGTGCAAGCACAGTAGAGATGGGCTCAGGTATCAGGGATGTATCCAGGTGTCAGAGCTGTGCTCATACACTGAGAAGGTGTCCACTAATCACGGATGTGTCCATACATCAGGGATGTGTTGTGGTTTCAGGGATGTGCTCATCTTATCAGGGGATGTCCCCTGTGCCAGGGATGTGCCTGCAGGGGTGACTGGGAGGGAAGGTGGGCCCATGGAGCTGGGACCCCACAGCCCCAGGGTTTGGGTTGGAGATGCTGGGGGCCAGAGGGACTTGGTGCTTAATGAAGGGTGGCCCTTGGGTACTCGCTGGGCACTGTGCCCCCATAGCTGTGCCTGGGGCAGTTTGGGGAGATGACCCCCACCCACCCCGTTCTGTGCTCCTTGCCCACCTGGTGCTGGTGACCTCATGATGGAGCAGCAGCGCAACCTGGGGGTAAGTGTCACTCCTGGGGTGCTCAGGGTGGCACCAGTAGCCACTGAGTCTGCCCTGGTGGCAGTGTAGTGAGGGCACATCCCATGGGGTGGCAGCCAGGCTTCTGACCAGGCATTATGTGTCACTGCACAGGAGCTGGAGCAGCATGGGACCCTGCGAAGACTGATCCCTGCTGAAGCGGGGGCTGTGTCCCACATCTCAACTCGTGTCTCTGCAGGGCTGTGCTCATCACCTGGGGTGTCGTCTCTGTGCTGGGGGGCACCTTCGTGTGCGGGCAGAGCGCTGCCCTGGCTGTGATGGGGCTGCTGCATTGAGGGGATGTGTAGCCCCATGTCCTCCCACATCCCCCCACCATCCTATCCCAGACACAGCCACACTGCAGCTGGCTCCCATCATGGTTTATTCAGTATTATCAATTCTGTTGTTCTATCGTTAATAAAAGCTTGGGTAGAGGGGAGGACACCTTGTGAGGCCCTGTCATTCCCCCATGGGGCTGGGCAGGATGGGGCAGAGTGTGCACAGACAGACAGACAGGCACACACAGACTTACAGACCCTGGGACTGGGGGATCAGCCACCCTCGGGCCTGCGAGGCACCTACCTCCACCCCACTGGGGCCCCAAGTGCCCTGCAGATCTCCATCCCTCTTCCCTCCCTTGTGCTGGATCTACCCATCAGAGACCCCAGTACACACCTCCTGCATACTGAGGGGTCTGCTCCCACCATATCCACCTCATCATCACCCCCTCCCAGGCCACAAAGAGCCAACCCCATGTAGGGAGAGGTGCCCCAGGAGTGGGGCAGCTCAGGGTGAGGTGCTGCTGATGGGGGACAAGGGGAGTTCCTTTGCTGCAGACAGGTGACAATCACACTCCCCTCTGGCCAACACAATGCGGGGGACAGTGCCTGGCAGGGGGTGGGGGGCACAGCCAGGTTCCTGCACGGTCAGTCTTGGCTCAGGGTGCACCAGGCAGCTGCAGGGGAAATCACTTGGAGTCACCCAGTGTCACCCCAGCACACATCCCTTCAGCTCCACCACTCACTGTGCTCCCACTGCCGAGGGGTTGCTTGTGCCCCCACCCCGGGTCCTACCTGGCACAGCCACAGTGGAGATGGTCTCAGGCTGGCTCAGCGCATCCACCTTGACATGCTGGAAGCCCTTGCAGGTGGCACTCTGCAGGTGCCTGCGGTGTGTTACAGCCCAGAATCACCATCCTGTCTGCCCCAAATCATCCCACACTCTGAGGGAAAGAAGCCAGATCTCTGCTCCCTGTGCCCTCCCCCATGCCCCCCATCCCTTCACCACCCAACCCCACTTGTCCATCCAGCCTGCCTGAACCCTGCAGACACAAGGGACCCCCACTCCTGCCACCAGAAAGGGGACAGCAGACCCTCCCCACATGTCCGAGGCAACAGCTCAGCCAAGCCCTGCTCTCACCCCACCAAGCTTCCCCAATCCCCCCAGCTGGCAGCTTCCTACCCATCCCACTCTACCTCTTCCAGTCCTCCTCGGTCTCCCAAAACTCATAGACGATGAAGGTGACTCCGTCGGGCAGCTTGACTGCAGTGACACTGGCAGTGGTGGGGTGAGAATGAGCCGTTGTGGGCATCCCTGGGCCCCACGGCCTTCCCCATGGGGGCACCCCCAGTTGTTGTCCTTGCAGCCACTGAGGGTGCCCCCAGTTCCCAGCACCCCAACCTCCCGCTGACTCCATCCCCTGTGCCCCCCCGGTACGCACTGGAAGCAGTCCCGCTCCCCAGCCACGCTCTTCAGGTACTGCTTCAGGGAGCTGCAGAACTCGCCCAAGTGCTTGTGTGACACCGTCATCTCATCCCGCACCAGGAGCAGGTACTGGGGTGAGAGCAGCATGTGAGACCTGATGTGTGCAACATCCCATCCAGGGACATCGTGCGGGGCACCACGGGGTGATGATGGTGGCAGAGCCACATGCTCACCGTGCAAGCTGTGCTCTCGCTGTCCGAAAGCCGCTGGTGCAGGTCAAACCAGAGAGTCTGCAAAGGGGAAAGGGAGGATGGGGCAGCGTGTCCCTCTTGGTGTCCACTGCTTGGGGACAGCCACTGAGAGACCCCTGGTGAAGGAGGAGCGTTGCAGTGGTCTGGGGGCAGCGGTGCCCCATAAGGGGGGAAGGGAATGGAGTCACCTCCTGCCCTGGATACACTGGAAGCTTGAAGAAGCCCAGCCTGTGCCCATGGGAAGCACCAGATGTGAGCTGATATCTGGGGACGCATGGCATAATGGAGACCTTGGTGAAGCATAGGCCAGGGACTTGGCACATGACCCCACATCACTCCATCTGCCCTAGAATGGCCCCAAACTGCCAACACTGCATTTCTCCCAAGAGAAATCGTTGTTCCACACTCTTCTGCCTTGAAAGCGTTTGGCAAACGTCAAGGGTTTTGGAAACTCCTCCGGCACCTCAGTATTCCCTCTGCCTGTCCCTAGATGGAGTAACGCTGCCTCTGTGAGAGGCTTCAACTCCTTCATCTATAGGAACATGAAGTTTAAGCAAAGCACTCTTGCCAATGGTGGAGGTGGCCAGGGTGATGCTGGGCAAGCGCAGTCCCTACCTTGTCCTCCAGCCTGCCAATGAGTGCGGCCAGCCTGCCGATCTGCCCCTCCAGCCCGTCCTGCCTGGGCTCGGGAGCACCTGCGGGAACACAGAGCAAAAGGCACCCGTGGGCATGCACCCAGCACCTGCAATGTGCTGCCGCGGGCTGCTGGGGCAGCAGCAGCTCTGTCCACTCACCGCTCTGGCTGCTCTTCCCGTGGCCCTGGGGCACAATGCGGCCGGGGGCTGCGTAGCTGGGCACAGGACTGCCATGCCAGGCCTCCGTCAGCGTCAGGCCAGCTGGGCCAGGGCACTGCCTGCAAGGAAGTGGGTGCTGGAGATGGGCCAGGCACCAATGGGTAGATGTTTCACAGCCCTCTGATTCTCTGCTTTTTAGGCCACCCCTGATGCAAGAGATCAGTTTTTTTGTGGTTCCCCCCCCTCCCTCCCCCAGTGATTTTCACCATGAGAAAAAAGCTCCAATGCCCTTCATGATGAGCGAGGTCCACACACCAGCAAAAAACAACGGACAGTGAGGACTTTCAGCAGCTCTGTTTGTCACTTCCTTCTCCCCACCAGCCCGTGCTATTCCCATCTGCTCTGCACCACGCCTTGCTGAGCCTTCCACAATGGGAGATGAAGCCAACAGACGCTCAGAGCACTCCTCCCAGTACAGTCCGGGGACACCACAGCACCACAGCACCCGTGGCCCTCTCAGTTTGTGTATGTCAGAGCCGCTCGGTCAGCATCCCATAGCGCCCCCAGCTGGGGCTGTTTGGGCAATCCTGCAGGAACCCGTTGGTATTTCAGCCCTGGCTGAGATGAATCTTGAAGCAATCTCCTCCACCTTCCTCAGGCTTTCCCCTGAGGATGGGGAACAGTGATGGGGATGAATAGTGATGTGATGGGGGAGTGGGAATGGGGTGGGATGGAGATGGAGATGGAGACATCGTGGGCTGTCCCAGCACATCCCAGACACAGCCACCAGGTCCCAAGGGTGGCTTTGCTCAGAGGAGAGTCCCAAGAGCTCCTGGGGAAGCTGGGAAAGACAGCTGCTCCACCAGTTCCTCTTACAGGGCCATGAGCCCCTGTAAAAGTCCCTCATAATGAGACCAGCTGAGAAGCATGGGCGGAGGGGAGAGGCAGTGGCTGACCTGGAGGGGTTGGTCTGCTCATCAATGGCATCCACGGCGCTCTCCACCGAGCTCAGCAGTGACTGGGTCTGGTTGGCCGTCTCCTTCAGCAGGAAGCGGGTGACAAACTGGTCCACATTGCTGCCGCTTTCATACACCTGTGTGCAGGGACAGCACGGTAATGTTCAGCTGGGTCTGGTGGGAATCACTGATAAATTAACACATGTGAGGTAATGAAACTAACCTTGCTTCAGCCCTGCTCCAAACAGAGTTCCATCTCACCTTGTTCAGCCTCAAAGTGGTTTTCAAATGGATTTGTCCCAATTGCTTTGAATTGAGCAAATTTCTTTTTCTTTTTTTTTTTTTACTCTTGTGTGATAGAGGCTCCCACAGTAATCCAAGCCCTCTAGAGAGGGGAAATAATCAATGGCACTCCGATTTTCTTAAAGCACTTGGAGTCTCTTCACCAGCACAGCCCTTCTGCTGCTCTGCCATGTGCTCCTCCCACCTCCCATGGGCCACTGGCACAACTGGACTGACACCAGAACAACCAGATCAACACCAGCACAGCTCTACCAATGCCAACTCAACCAGACTGACACAAACCCAACCAGACTGACAACAGCCCAACTGGTCCAACGCTGTCCCAGCACCACCCTAACCAGCCCAACAAACACCAGTCCAACTGGTCTCACCCCAGCCTATCTGGGCCAACATCAGCCCAAGCAGGCACACTGCATGGTGTTACAATGTCTGATAAATAATTGTCAGTAGAAAAGAAAGGCAGGGTGGGCTGCTGGGGCCATAGCGATGATGCCCACCTGGTGCAAGTGGGTAGGACAGGAAGAGCAATGGCAAAACCCCGAGTCAGCTCAGGCTGCCTATTTCATGACAGCAGCAAAAACATCCAGAAGAATCCCCGTTGTTCGTTTGCTCTGCTGTGAAAAGGAGCAGGTGTTCCCAAAGAGGGCTTCAATGGGGTGAATTAAATGGTTTTCAGTGGGAGGCCCCAGTCTGCAAGGACATGGTGTGGGAACATTTGCTAAGCATTCGGGTGGGGGAAAGGATAGATGCATTCTCAAATACTCCTGAATTCCTGAACAATCTCCCAGTATTCACACTCATGCTAAGGAGGGGTATTAAACTGACAAATCTCATTGGCAAAAACACATAATTGCATTTGAGATCTGAACCCATTTCTTCAGCATTTTCCCCTCACCACTGATTCCTCCCTGGGGCCTTGCACACGGGAGCCTGTGCAAAACCGAGGCATAAATACATTAATCAGGCTCTTGAGCAGGCTCGGCTATAATTACAGATGAGTTTTGATTAAGCCCCAGCAACCAGCCCTGCTCTGATTGCAGGTGCTGGGGCAAAGGCTGAGCTGCGCACAGTCTCTGTTACGAAGCTGGAAATGAATTGATCGAATAAACCAGGAGCTGTGCTTCAATTTGCCCCCAGTTTCCTGCTGCCCTCCAGGACTCCATTGCTTGCATCCTACCAGCACCACTGCACAATTTCTCATCAAGTCAGGCACACGAGCCTGTTCCTTTTGGAAAATAAAAGGTTTTAAGAAGGTGTGGACTATGCACGTGCTTTGTGTTGGTGTTCC